CATCTAATAAATAAGTAAGCATCGTTTTGCATCGCTTTGATATAATAGTTTGCGATGCATATAAATGCAAACAACATGGAAGAAAATTAGCGAGATCGATTGAAAAATTGACGTACTAATTTACTAACCTGTATCCGTGCCTCTGTAAGACCGATCTTCATAGCTAATTCCTCTCTGAAAGAAAGAAAAAAAAAAGAAATAAATTTGCAAGGTTAACACGAATTGGCGTGTGAGACAGAGTTTCCGCGTATTCGCCGGATAAAGTAATAATTTTAAGAAAATTCAGACGATTGTGAATATATTGGTACAGGATCGCGAATAATAGCAATAAAGAAACTATGAAATCTCGGCAACACGAGTAATCATACATCCATTAAGTTAATTAGAACGTTTGTAAGAAATCAATTAATTTCATTACGTCTTCCAACAACGTGTGATTTTCAATCCGATTGCCATTCGCATAAATTACGTGTGACGAGTGTAACGCATTGTAGCACGGCATTTTCATAATTATTCACCACTGCTCGAGTAATAGATCGTATCTCGGCCTCACACACACACACACACACACATACACACGCCTGTGCATACATACTTAACAAATTTGCAGCAACGCGACGACTATGTTTCTCCGGATAGATATATTATACGCATATCATTATTTACAATAAATTAAACGACTATTAACAAAGATTGCACACAGTTTAAAATGCAACAGTTTATATAACGTGCAAAAATCATTGGCGTTTCTGTGGAATAATGAATAATTATTTTTTCGCTTCGTCTTTCTTCTTCTTCTTCTTCTTCTTCTTTTCCTTCTTTTTTTCTTCCTCCCCTCCCCGATAACTTTTTTATTTCATTCCTTCTTTTCTCTCTCTCTCTCTCTTCCTCTTTGCCACCGACTCCTTGAACCGTATCACGTGATCACGTCAAGGGAAAAATCGAAAGATCGCATCGAGCGCGTGTCGCGCTCGTCGTTCGGATCAGGGTTAAGCAAAATTGCGGAAGCGAGGCAAGCCTCTCTCTCTCGATTTCTCCATTCCTAGGGTTTCTAGGGGTTTTTTGTCGGTCGCAAAAAAAGAATCGAGGCGAGGATGCCGCGATTATTGTTACGTATCGATGTCCGGGGTATACGAAATATCCCGATCCTCCCCACTCGCGCCGTCTCGCTAGACGGCCTGCGGGGTTTCTCATCTCGCACGCAAATTGCCCAGATGTTCCACGAAATCGCGAGGAAATATCGGTGATTATATCGCGCACAGAAGCTGCTTCTTCCCTTCCCCCGATCGGTTCAATCTCGTGTTTAGGCGAATTCGAGTATACACGAGGTTACGTTTCAGTTAGTGCCCGCTCGAAATTACAGGGACTTTGGAAACAACCTCTCGAAAATTGGCCGAACTGATTTATGCCGTTTTTATATCGTCGCGCCTCTCTCGGGTGAAATAGACATTGGACCCATTCGCGTGATCTTCTCCTCTTATTCCAAGTCAAATCGGATTAACGTAATTTTATCTCAGAGATGATAAAAACGACGTTTATATATTTTTCTATTTGAAAAAAGAAACCGCGTGTGTTTCATCGGGACTAATTAATGAAATTTCGAAGAATCTTGGAAATCTTGGAAATTTATCCAATTCCTATCGTTTCCACGTTTAAACACGCTCCATCTAAGATTATCGATTTCTTACTGCACTTGGTGAATATTTCGATAACGAGTAATAAGAGAGGTTCCAATTTTTTTTTTTTTTTTTAATTAAATAGAAAGATCTCGTAAAAGATCTGTTTCATAAATTGTCGTTATTATTATTACCAAAATTGGCCATTTCATAATCGATTTCCAAGATTACGATATAAAATCGGTGTGCGTCTAAGCGGAATCTCGAGGAACGGCCGAGATCCGAGCGGGGCACCTTGGCCTGCGAGTAATAATAATTTAGCCTTTCCCTTTTTCTCCTCCAACACTCACGAACGTCCTTCTGGATTTAATAAGATCACGAAATTTCGCGGTTAGACGGGCGTCCCTAATTACACCCGCCGTTCACTGGCGACTCGGTTTATCCTCGATTCGCGTATCGTTATTATTACGTATCTCTCCCTTCCTCGATGTCCTTGCTATGGGAAATGCACGCTAGCCGCGGCTCGCCGCCACTCTTCCAAGTGGAGTACACGCACGCGCGCACACATATAGAGAGGGCCG